TAAAAAATTAAATAATTACATTTATAAAATTAACAAAATTATGTGTGTGTGTGTGTGTGTATATATATATATATATTATTATTTTTTATTTATTTATTTATTTATTTTTTAAAGTGAAGACTGTTCTGCATTATTGTAATGTTATATTGATGTAAATTCAGCACATTTCTCTTTCCCAGTGCTCATTACCATAATGCGTTCAGCCGTTTTTGTTGTAATTCTCATAGCAATACAGTATTTTTTTTGTTTTGCATTAAACAATGGCTATAATAAAATGATTTAAAAAATAGCATAATTTAAAGGCAGTATAATATAAATACTTTGATATTTAAATACAGTAATGAAGAGGTTTTTGTGCATGATGGTAATGAGAATTATGGAGAAAATGTATTTAATTTTCATGAAAACAATAATAAAATGCAAAAACAGGCTTCATTTTCTCTAAACAAAATATAATCTGATATTTTTTTCTTTTCGATTTTTGGGTGAAATATGACCCGGCTTCATCTTCTTGACACGTTTCGTAGGATTCACCCCACCTAAACTATTAAACATGCTGCAAATGTACATATATGCTAAAATGTAAAATGACCTCATGATACCATAATTACTCTTTGAAAAATACTACATAAATAGGTTAAAATAAATATGTTAAGTCACATTATTTAAACAGGGCATCTCTCTAGTCGTATGAATGCGTGTCAATAGGATGCCTGTTTTGATCTGATTCATGATCAGACGAATCAAGGCAGCTTAAAGGAATCGTTCACCTACCGTTTTTTACTAATCATCATGTCGTTCCAAACATATGCGTATAACTTTCTCTGTAGAAAAAAACAACACTTTCTACTTATATGGAAAAGAGCAGCCTGAACATTCTGCTAAATATCTCTTTTTGTGTTCCACGTAAGAAAGTCAGTCACATGGGTTTGATGCGACATGAGGATGAATAAATAATAATAAAAGTCTAATTTTGGGCCAGAACAATTCCTTTAAACCACAAACGCTATATCGCCTGATGCTTTTGCTATGCTAATTCTCATTCCTACACAAAGTTCCAGGTTGAACCAGGACTTGCGCACGACTAAGATCCGATATCTCTTTAAAAGCAACAAAAAAGGGGTCACAGGAAAAAACCAAGGTAAAACGGAAAGCAGTCGATGTGCGAAACAAAACACAAAAAACGTCTCTGCTGACCAACTGAGGAGAGCCGGTTGTACTGCATCCGCCTCTGATGTCATTAAACTCCTCCTCTTCCTGTTCCTCGTGTCCCTGCGTCTCGGGTGGAGTTGGTGACGGTAACCAATGACAGCATGCGTTCTCCTGACTGGGTGAGGTTTGCAAGTCTTGGTGAAGGAGATGGTCCCCCTTGAGCAGCACTTCAGGAAAACCTCTCCCCTCTTCTCCTTCACCGCGCTACACCAGCTGGTATCCTGAGCCGGACGTCTGGTCGTACTCTATTGTGTACTGGGAGGTCCAGTCTACCACCACGGGCCGCAGCAGACCGCAGCAGCGCAGCTCGAAGAAATCTATGAGGTTCCTTATACAGCCGTGACTGAAAACAGAGGAGCAACGTTAGGGGAGCAACTTAAAAACAACCGATTCCAATTCTGTCATAGTTCTGACTAAACTGTTCAGTTTAACAATTTTTTGTAATTTTGTTAGGTGGTTTGTCATTTTTATTGTCGTTTTGTTATTCATTTTGTAATTTTTATTACTTATTATTCAAATATTTCTAAATAGTTTTTATTTTATTTCAATTTTAGTTATGTACATATATAGTATGTATTATCTAAAAGTGTTATTACTATTTTGAATTAGCTTTTAATTTTTTGAACAGCATTTATTTATAATGTTCTGTTTAAATTTATTTTCTGTGCATTATTCATTTTGAAATTTGTATTAGTCATTGTTCAAATATTTGAGTAGTTTTACTCAAGTTTTAGTTCGTTTTATATTATGTTAAATAATCTTAGTATTGAAATGTATTATTAATGTAAACTATTATTATCTGAAACAGTACTTTGAACTAGCTTTTCAATAGATTTAAATAGCACTTATTTTTAAAATTTCAGTTTAAATGTAATTTTTTTTAAAATTATTATTCATTTTGTAATTTTTATTCTTCATTCAAACATGTGTAAATAGTTTTGATTTGGTTTTATTTCAGTTTTAGTTTTATTTGAGTAAGTAATATTAGTAGTTCAACTAAGTTTTTCATCTAATATTTATATTCTATTTCAAGTTTTTTTTTTTTTTAATGATACAACATGCCAACATTTTTTTTTTTAAGTAAATAGCTTATAAAGCACTAAATCAACCAAGTGATTTGTCATCACTAAATTATATTATATATATCAGTACTACACCAACCATCAGCCACCCTTTTTCTATAGATATTAGCATTATCATATCGGGGGATTTTTGAATTAAAACATTCATTAGAGGTAATTCACTTAGTCAAATTGGATCTTTCTATAAATTGTTGTGTCCAAACAAGCACTAGTAGGTACATTTTCGAACAGTAAGTATATATAGATTATATTCTACAGACTGTATTGATGATTAATATACAAAGCATACCTCTATAAAATTGATTTATGGTCACGGCCACTTGACAAACAAACCATCCTCCTCTAGATATAGATAAGCTTTTCCCAGCTCAACCTGAAATGAGTTTAAAGGACTCACTTGAAAGGGCTCTCGATGGACGTGGCTGTAACTTTAAAGTGCTTATATCTTCTGGCGTTCATGCGCTCGTTTGTTGTGATGCCCAGAACAGCGATCTATGGAGGATACATCAAACCACAAAAACACATAAAATCTGTTCCAAACCCTAGTGAGCCGACTCAATTTCCACAGGTTAACATGCAGACTGAAACAGATTCCCAAGACCTAAACAAAGGCCTCTGGAAATGTAGCCTAGGTAGGCAGCTTTCTTGCTTTTGAAACAGATCTGGACTTGAGTTTGTCTTACCTGGTAGAGCTGGCACATGATGAGCACAGCGACCCACATGAAGTGAAACACACTGTTGAGAAACATCCAGAACATCCACGGCGAGCAGGTGGCGATCTGGGTGATGTAGATCCAAAAGCCGTCTTTAGTGTAGCTGGTAGCACAGTGAATCCTCCAGTCTGCAGAAACAGAGCACAATCACGTTCAGTTCATCAATATTATACATATGTATGCTACTAATGAAAAAAAAAAAAAAAAAGGTAAAAATCAGGTCTCATTTGTTAATATTAAAGGGATAGTTCACCCAAAAATGAAAATTGTCATCATTTACTCACCATCAAGTCATTCCAAACCTGTATGAGCTTATTTCTTCTGTTGAACATAAAAGAAGATATTTTGAGGAATGTTGGTAACCAAACAGTTGACGGTACCCATTGACTTCCACAGTATTTTTTTCCATACTATAGAAGTCAATGGCTACCGTCAACTGGTTACACGCATTCTTCAAAATATCTTTTTTTTTTACAGGTTTGGAACATCTTAAGGGTGAGTAAATGATGACAAGACTTTCATATTTGGGTGAACTATCCCTTTAATGCATTAACTAACATGAACTAACAATGAACTATATTTTTACAGCACTTATTAACCCTATTTAATGTTAGTTCACAGTGCATTAATGTTAACAGATAAAACTTTGATTTCAATGATGAATTAGTAAATGTTGAATCTAAATGCTGTTTAAGTATTGTTCATGCTAACGAATGAAACCTGTTTGTAGAGTGTTACAAAAATGAATACTATTTTCTTCTGAAATTGATCTATATGCATTTATCATCTCATTGATCGTATAAAACTATGCAAACCCAAGTGTACTTACAGCAAATGCATCCGTATATCATCCAACAGATCATACACAACAGGAAGAACAAGTAGCCCATAAAGTAACGGTGGTTTCCACTTCCTGTCCGCAAACAACGAGGAGAAAAACACAGACAAATGAAAGGAATGAGTCATATCTGCCCCTTTACATTCCCTCAACTATCTGCCTTCGGCTCAAATTAGTCCAAGATTTGGATTATGGGATGCTAAATGGGCTTTCTTCACAATAGTGAACAATTTCCTGGCCAATCTCTTGACTTTTCATGTTAATGTCAGGTGGAAAAGCATGTGAGGTGGATGGTTGGTGGGACTTAATGTAGGTATAGGCCTGAAAAACTCACCTACGCAGTTGCCGACCCACGGGCAGTGGTGATCAAACTTGGCGATGCATCGATTGCAAACAGCGCAGTGTTTGGATCTGATTGGCTTCCGTATCTGTGGAGAACAGGCCGTTAAAGTGAGTGTTTTATGCACGGGCAACTCGATGGAAATTGCAATGCAAATCAGACTTTTGAGTTATCAGCTTGCCAACACTGACTGTGTTCAAGCAGCGGTGTGCAGAATAGAAGGGAGTCATAATTACCAAACAGGTGCTGCAGAATATGCTGAGATCCAGACTGCCTGTTTCTGCCAATTCAACTATAGTCTGAAGAGAGACGAAGAGAAAACAGCAGAGCATTTTTACATTTTCTGAAGAAAATGAGAGTGGTGCTTTCCTGTGCATAAAGCATCAGTGTTCTGGATGGTTGATTACTGGCACAAGTTAAAAAGCCCTGAATCATACTACTCGAAGATTTGGAGAAATGTAGCATTACATCACTTGCTCACCAGTGGATCCTCTGCAGTGAATGGGTGCCGTCAGAATGAGAGTCCAAATAGCTGATAAAAACATCACAATAATCGACACCACTCCAGTCCACCAGTTAAGCCAAAAGTTGCGTGTTTGTAAGAAACAAATCCATCAAGGCATTTTAACCAAAAATGGTCACTTCTGGCCAAAATATACATCCATATAACGCTTCCTCCAGTGAAAAAGTTAATTCTCTTGTCCTCTCACATCAAAATTCACCCACATATTTATTTTGGACTGTTTTGGCTTGTAAACGGTGCTTGATCTGTACAGTTTTCTCCCCTGATTCAGATGAGACAACATTTTCACTGGAGAAAGCATAATTATGGATTATGGACTTGTATTTTGGCCAGAAGCAACATCATCATGATGGATTTGTTTATTATAAACATACAGATTTTGGCTTCATAAGATGTTAATTGCTGGACTGGAGTGGTGTGGATTACTTGTGGATAATTGTGATGTTTTTATCAGCCGTTTGGACTCTCATTCTGACGGCACCCATTCACTGCAGAGGATCCATTGCTGAGCAAGTGATGCAATGCTACATTTCTCCAAATCTGATGAAGAAACAAACTCATCTACATCTTGGATGACTTGAGG